TGCGATAAACGCAGTTTTAACAAATGATATGTTCCAGAAAATGAAACATGGATCGGGGTCATTGAAGGTCCAAGCTAATGGATGTTTGGGGCACCTGCTCCTGCTGCCCTTGCAGCAGTTATAGTTCGGTTTCCCTAACAGCTCCTTGCTGAATTACTGCTTTAAGGGTCAGGAAGAAAAACGATTGTTGAAGAACTGCTTTGTTGAAGTGGCGGTGGAGGGGGAATTTGCGCCATAAAGTGGGCAATGATAATTCCTACATGGGCATTAAAAGTTCGTAAAATAGTTTTCCACAATCTTTGGTCGTTGATTATGTAGTTTCAGGATTTTGCCAGTTCTAGATTAACTAGCTAGGCAGCGGCCAGTTATAGATCTGTGAGCCTAAGTCCAGATCGAAAACGCATATTTTGTGCTGAAAGCTTAACATTTTCCTCTCTTGGTCTCGGAGCTCCAGCGAAAACTTTAGAAATTTGAAGCATTTTCCCATTCGAAGTCATGCGTTTAATTCTTTTTATTTATTTTTTTAATTAGTTTGGTTGGACGTTCAGGTTGACTTTGCTGTACATATTACCTCATAATGTTTTTATAAAATTTTTTATAAAATTAGTTTACCATTGAATTTGAACTCAACATTTTCTTTACACATTTTCTTTTGATTTCCGACAAAAAAAAAACAAATTTCTTTAATCTCGCATCCTCCAATTCAAAAAAAATTGATTCATTATATATATATATATATATATATATATAAAGACTTGAACTTGAATCCACGATCCTCTTCCTTACGAATGCTACAAAGCCCCATTGCACTCAACTGCACGCCATTGAATCATGCAAGTCGGTGCAAAGTATTTCGCACGGTTGTAATCATTGAAATGGCCATTGATTTCAAAGCCTTAAATTCACCTAATTATATGAACACAAATGTTTCAAACCCCAGCCACGTACGCCCACACGTAAAGCTTCCAAAAGCGAAAGGGACTTGTCATTCTCAGTTCTAACAATGAGATCATAATCCTCCATCTATTCCCTGCAATGGTTTCTGAAAAACATCATAATTTTCTTTGAATCTGACCCTCTACGGCCTCAAGTGAAAAATAAAAAGAGAAAACACAACAAAAGAGACAAAGAGGGTTTCTGGTGATGCAAGGACCAAAGACTTCGTTTTGCATCAAATCATGACTTAATTAAGAAAGGATTAATACCTCAACATAATAAATTCCAAAACGATCCCTTCAATAAATCACAACAATGAAAGGAAAACCCTTGTTTTAGTACATAAACTGAGAATATAAATCTAAATATTAATCAATTTACACTAAAATTTAATGTATTTATTTTAATTGGCTATAGACCTATCCATGAGTACCAGGGCAGTTGGCTCGTGCCGAGTCTTGGACAAGATTTTTCTTTGAGGTAATTAAATAATTTTTTTATTTAATGTAAATTTTAAAATTATATAATTAAACTATTAAATATTTTCAATATTTTAAAAATAAATAAATTTTAAATAAGAGGACCAGGCTCGGGCATAACCCTGCTTGACCCAAAACACCCTTTAACTACAATATATAAATTAATAATCCAAATACTTTGCTTTTTGTGAAAAGTCTTTGAAATATTCATTATGATACGTGGAGAATAGCAGATAAACGTAGTTAAATTCCTTCCACAAGCAAAAAGCAGCTCGGTGTAAGAAACTGTTTTCTATATAAATAAAAGGAAATGCATTAACAATTTCACTATGATGAGATGAACAGCTGCATGCTCGGAGAAGGTGCAATGGATGAACTATATATGGTAGATCTTCCGTTTTTATAATATTTCAAGTAATTTGCTTTACCTTTGCATTTAATGTATAGTCAACAAATTAAACTATATATATACCAAAAAAAAAAGGCCCATAATACAATGAAGAGAATGTGGATTCTAGTTCGGACACTACTTTGACCCTTTCAACGTTATCTGACACTTTTTCCTTCTCACTCACCCATTTGTAACGCAAGCTATTTTATATTACAAGCACCCAAATACTGAATTGCCTCTTACCAAACTTGTTTTATAAGTAGAAGTTAATCATTCGGAAAGGCAAACAATTTGAGTGGAACTTCACCATTACCATTGATAAAAGCCAACATTAATCCCCCATAGACTGAAATGTCTGAATTAGTTTTAAAAGGTTATTGCTAAGTAAGTAGTCTGCAATCGATTGATGAGCAGTATGTTGCCCCTTTCCCGCAGCTCCCCCTAACCCTAAGTCCAAATTTGATCTGGTCCCTAGTCATGAAAGTCATTTTGTTGCATATATATATATATACGTCAAAAGAGGAAGACTATAACATAACTTGAAAGTTGAACAATCCTCGAGATTAAAAGTATTTTCACCTTTTTAATTTGGGACAAACAATATATAATAATAATGGAAACAATATCTAATATGTTTCATATTTGAATCCCCATTTGACCGACCTGATCTATTCATTTTCTCCTCAATTCAAGAGAAAAAAGCTTCGAGACCAAGAAGTCTAGCCCCAAAATAAAAGAAAGTAGTCTTTGAAATGAAAAATTGGAAGGAACAAAAAATACAAAAGGCATTTCATCCCCCAAATCTGGCTAAAACAACAAGAAGAGATCAATCAATATTAGGTATGGCAATGTGTATTCAATTACAAGGTACCTGCGGATACCTAATTCGGTTATATAAGATTAGTATATCTTATAATCGAGTTTGGAATAAATTTGGGTAGTGAATTTACTACTTGTGTAGGGTTTGGGTAACACTCCTTGGATACCGTTATCAAACTCGATTATCATTTATAAATATTTTAATTATTATTTTAATAATTAAATTAAAAATATATAATTTTTACTAACTTTACAAGTAATTCTTTTTCTTAAAAACTAACAAATATATGAAAAGTATGATTATTTTAATTATTAATGTGATGACATTAATATATTTAAATTAAAAAATTATTAGATTATTAATTATGTTTAAATAATATGAATCTTATATTATATTAGAAAAAAATATAATTACTATTATTTACATATATATATATACTTTTAATATAAATATATTTATTTTGGGTTAACAGTACAAAAATTATAAATTTTAAAA